TCATTTACTTATTAATGCAGACCAGGAGCAACCACTTTAAATTTCCTAACCATTTTATATTTTCTAATGTTTGTTATCTTGTTACACTCCACCCTCACTCTGCCCCCCACCAAGATTGTTTACCCTCTTTCAGATAGCAGCAAAAATCATTAAGTGAAAATGATCTCTGTGCCATTTTCATTTCCGTAGACATCAGTAAAGTACAAACAAGTGATACCTGTGTCCTATTTTGCTGCTAGCCTGGGGCGGGGGGAGGAGAGGGGTAGGAAGAACCTGAACAGAACCTGAGGTGATGGTTGGAGAGAAGAGGCCAGCGGGCTGAATTCTAGCAAGTTTAATCACTGTTAAGCCCATCATATTAGCTGACACAAGATAAAATATCTCATTGTTGGAGGAGGTCATCAAGAGGACATGACCACCGGTTGACTGGACTCAGGCAATTGGAGGCTCCTCACCCCTTCCCCTGCCCTTGGGCAAATCTCCATTGGTGAATTCCACCTCTGGGTAACCAAACCAGTACTGAGGGCAAACATTAACTGGGAACCAGTAAGCCTGTCATCCCTGTAGAGTGGTAACTGTCAATATAAATTGCTTGGGGGGGCATAAGGATAAGCAATCCAAAACTGCACTGAATGTCCAGTAAAAAAGTCAGATCACTCATGGTGGATGACAGCACACTACCGAGAACTGAACAAGGTAGTGTCTTCCCAATCCATAAAGCTGTGCCCAACATTGCCACCATCTTAGATATCTTGGCCAGAGTCCTAGGAGTGTACTGTGCTGTGCTGGACTTAGCAAATGCCTTTTTTCAGTATATCCCTGACCACTGAGTCACAAGACCAGTTTGCATTTACATGGGAGAGGCAACAATAGGTCTTTTGAGTGATTCCCTAAGGTGCTGTACACAGCCCCACCATATGTCATGGGATGGTAGCCTGAGACCTGCCCTGTTTTCCTTGCCCACATCACTAAAATGGGTCCATTACATTGATGATATAATGTTAACATGGGAAGATTTGCCTCTGCTGGAGGCAAACCCTGGAGGCTTTGCTGGAGCCTATGTGAGAGAGAGGATGGGCAGTGAACCCACATAAAATTCAGGGTCAAGGGAGCTGCCTGGTCAGATAAGACTTGTGTTGTCCCAGAAGCTGTGGTTGATAAGGTGCAAGCCTACCCAATCCCTAAGAATGTGAACAAAATGCCAGCCTTTGCAAGGATTTAGGGACTTGGGAGGACTCTTACTGCCCACCTGGCACAGTGTCCCCATTCCTTATACCACCTGGTAAAGAAAGGGCACATGTGGGACTGGGGATCAGAGCAGCAGGCTGCCTCTGAAAAGGCCAAAATACTAGTAAAGCAGGTTATAGTTCTGGGCATCTCCCAAGCAGGACTACCATTTGAATTAGATGTGTCTGTGACTCTGGAATATATGCGCTGGGCACTAGCAGAAATAAGAGAAGGAGAGAGTACCCCTGGGATTTTGGTCTCAGCTCTGGGAAGAGAGCAAAAACCTGTCTACCCGCACAGAGCACCCTTCCAGATTAAGCCTCTCACTAAGGAACAGAGCACTGTGGTAAGAACTTCCCTGCCCATCAAGGGATGGGATGAGAATACGTTCCATTTACCCACCTCTGCCATAGCTCAAATTTCCACTGTGATTAAGTGACATGCCTATTTGCAGCAGAGGTGCACCCTATCCCCCAGTCTACTAGAAATGCAGGTGCTGCTAGGACCTGTGGAGGATGTAGATCCTCCAGATGCCCCTGCCCCTCTACCTGTTTTGTCCCTGTAGCCTGTAGGGAGTGAGTGGGGAAATTCTAGCCGATGCCCAGTATACACATGGGTCTAGTCGGGGAAATGCCTTCAAGAGGAGTACAGTCACTATTTTGCCCAAAAATGACACTATCTGGCTGGAAACAGGAACAGAGTACAGTAACCAGCGGGCTGAACTCAGAACAGCTTGGCTGGTGATTCATGAGTTCTGGCTGTTATTCCTTTGTTAACCCTTTGCACTGACAATTGGGCTGTTCTAAAGGGATGAAACCTACGGCTTGGACATTGGGAAGGCAAGGGGTGGATGATTGTGAATCAGCCCTTGTGAGTATCAGGATATGTGGAAAGACATTTGGGTCCCCCTATAAGAGCCTGAAGTATAACTCACTGTTTTCTAGATCCCTGCTCATAAAGCACTAACATCCCCTGGCAATCAGGAAGCTGATACCTTAGCTCGTTTCACCCTTGAACTATAGTGACTCAAGTTAATGCAGTAACAGCATGTCTTGTGTGTTATAACCAATGCCAAAGGCAGCTACCAAAGGAATCTGGTGTTCTCAACCAGGGAGTGATTGGCAAATTGATTATATTGCCTCACTCCCTCAGAGTGAAGGTTACACATACACTGTGGTTTGTGTGGACACAGCACCTGGCCTAACCCAAACTTTCTCTGTGAATGTGCAAACCAGGCTGCCACCATTAGGGGATTATAGAAGCTGAGTACCATGTATGGATACCCTCATCAGTAGACATGATGGGGTGGTCCCATTTCAAAGGTCATGATGTTCAAGACTGGACAAAAGTCATGATAGTGAATGGAGGCTCCAGCTCCCCTAGAACCCCCAAGCAGCAGGGTTGGTAGAAAGGAAAAATGGGATATTAAAGGAGAGATGAAATTACTAACAGGTAAAACCATTTTGGCCAAGTAGACGAAAGTACTGTCCCAGACTTTAACACATTTGCATGATCAACCAATAAGTCCTAATTACCCCATATGCCAGACTGGGGACCCCCGCCAAGGCCCTCGATACTGTAAAGGTGTGGAAGTTGCGGAACCCAGCCATTGCCCCAACTCTCACCAAGATGAGCATGTTGTGCTGTTGAGAACACCAAACCCTGAGAAAGGCATTATCTACTGGAATTTGCAATGGCAAGTTCTGCTGGGATGGGTGAGTTACTTCGCACTGGGATCCTATTGTCCTGCTACAAGCTAGACTTGTTGAAACATACTATACCTGCAGAGGAATATGTACCATTGAAAGAGGGGGAGAGGATGGAGTCCTGGTCTGGCATATCCCACCCCTAGTCCATCTCACACCTGACAGTGCTGCCTCGCCTGGCCAACCTGGATGGTATACGTGACCTGGTCAAATTCCTAAAACTGCAACCACCCTAACGTCTAAAGATCAGGCCTTGTCATTCTTGTAACAGAGGAACATCTCCCCATACAAGTTCCTACTAAATATCTGTTTGACCTTAGACTCTGCTGCTCCTTTGGTGTCCAGTTACAGGATGGGCACCCGACAGAAATTCCTTTCTACAGTGGGCCCACCCCTATGTCCAACAAAGAAATCAATCCAACTGATGGCAATGTGGGAAGCTGCCCCTCTCTAGCTCCTCAGGATTGTCATGGTGAGAATCACCCCTCCAAGAAAGACACTGAAAGGCCCTAAAGCCATTCATTAAGGAAGAACACATTAGGACTAGCATTCTTGGTTCATCTGATATTACCAATACTAATCCAGAAACCTGGCCTGGGGCACACACTATCAATAACACTGGGCATGGGTCTTCTTTTTCTGTCTATCAGACTACACAGGCAGCCCCTTAACCTGCTCATTGGAAGGGTCCCAGAAATACCACCGTTGAGCCAGATTTGGGATGGGTTTATGGACATTTGAACACCCAGGCACCCCTGTGTTGGGAAGAGAGAAACGTCATTTGAAACAGAACCAATACAACTGTACCGGGAATATAGGAGGGATGTCACTGGAACTGTGTGGTCAGTCACTCTGTCATATTAAAGGAGAGTGACTAGTTTGGTACTAACTTTCAGTAGCCCGAAAAGGGGCCTAATGGTTGTGTGGAACAAAATTTTGGCCACGGTTCCCACCTGGGTGGTTGGACCACTGCACCCTGAGTTTTCCCTGGGCATAGGGGAGAACTCACCCCACCCATGGAAACAATACTTGTCAATTTCCCTCACCTCAAGGCTAGATGGACACGCTGTGTTTTTCACTGACATGGATTATAGCTGTTGTCTTTAATTCCGCCATTGGCCCGGTGGATGTTATAGTACATTTAGAAGCCCTTACTAAATTCACCCAGCAAGCATTAAATGATAACCAACAAACCTTGTCCTTACTGAATACTGAAATAGCTCTAGTGAGAAGAGTTGTCGTCCAAAATAGAATGGCTTTGGACATTATTTTTGCCTCAGAAGGAGGCACCTGTGCCATGATCCAAACAGAATGCTGTGTGTTCATACCTGATGAGTCTGCTAATGTATCACCTTTACTAAATCACATGAGAACATAAGTGAATACCGTGAGTGATCCAACCCCCAGCTAGGGAACTTAATCAATCAGTGGTTGGAAGCCTGGGGTCCTTGGTGGGGAAAAAAAAAAATTGTTTTGGAAATCATTACCTTAATCTGTGTTTTCTTTTGCATGTACCTACACTTTTACCGTGGTATCTGCCTCCCATGCAGACAGACAAAACCAAATGGGCCACCTCCATGATAGCGAACCCCCTTGCTGACTGCTCAGGGGACACCATAGAAGAGGGGGCTGTGTGACATTGTAAAAGCTGGTCAGGAGAGGTGGCACATTGGGGGGAAGTCATCAAGAGGCTGTGACCACACGTTGACCCACGAGCTGGACCCTCAGAGACTTCTTGGAATGTACATTCTGCTGGCCTTACTAGTGATGGGGTGTTGAGACCACGTGCATGGTACTGACGGAATCCAGTTAACATATGGCAGGTGTGGAGATGTACTTGTCTTGCTGCTGCCCAGGACACGCCTCATATGTAAGTTCCCTTGCTTATTTAAACTTGCCACCTGCCACCCTGGAGTGGCCCGCCTCTTTCTTGGGTCTCTCTCTGCCCTCCATGAAGGGGACCAGTTTCAGATTACACCTGGGATGCTCCGGAGGTTGCAAACTAACACTCTGCTGGGCGCCTAGTTCCAGTGAGGGCTCCAAGTACTGAAGAACCAGGAGACTTACCTGGAACCTCCAGAGCCCTCCAATGTCATCCGTCCTTTCAAAGCAGACTGGCTCCAGGCCTTCCTCCAGGCAGCACTTGATAGAGGAGAGCCCACTCACACCTCCCCCAATCACTGCAATTCTTTTCTTGGTCATGGTCTCCCGATATCTTTACCAGGCTAGATCAATGTAACCTGTCCAAAACAAACAAACAAACAAGCAAACAAAAAAACAAAAGACAGAAAGCACACTTTAGTTAACACATTTCAGGGAAGTTGGATCTTGGCCATGGCATCCTCCAAATAAATGCTGGGACAACAGGTGCTTTAGGAGAAGTCAGATTCTGCTGTCCCCCCTGGGCATAGGGAATTGCTAGGAAAGGGATATGGGAGCCCTGCGTCCGCAAGACCCGAAGCTGAGAGCCCTGCTGTGGCAGCGTATCTCACTGCCTTTCCTGTAGCACCTGGCCGATCCTTCAGCTGCCATCCAGAGGCTGCGCTGCACTTTTGGCTGCTGTGGCAGAAAAATAAACCGACAAAGTGCAAACAGCAACAGCCAATGGGGAGTAACTATTCCTCTCCACCTCCTTCCAGCCAAAGCCCCGCAGCTCAGCGGCACCCACTCCCTCCTCCAGCGAAAATAGTACGTGGGCCAAACCTGCTTTGAGCCGAAAAAAAATCCGACCACCTCGATTGCAGTTGCCCGGAGGGTCAACCACAGTCTCTAGAGACACAGCAACCCTGTGTTTCCATCCCTCCCCTCTCCACATCCACTTTGAACTTCCTGGTATCTGCCTTAAAGTGACAAACTCCGCCTGGTGAAGGGGATACTAGCAACAACCTCAAAGCAAGTCTTGCTCTAAAAGCTTCGGTGGAGAACACCTACCTTTCAGGATGTGTTAAAACATATCCCGGAGCCTCACTCCCCCTTCCCACCCCACTCCCACCTCACAGATCGGTTCTTTGGTTCCAGGTTGCTGGTAGAAATTTACTTAAAATACCTGTGCACTAAACGGGCCGCTGCGGTTCAGTGAGAAACGGATCACGTTTCCTACTTACAGGAGCTCTTACCTGGGTGGCTCGGTCGTTAAGCATCTGCCTTACGCTCAGGTCAGGATTTCAGGGTCCTGGGATCGAGCCCCGCATCGGGCTCTTGGCTCAGCAGGGCAGTCGCTTCTCCCTCTACCCCTGTGCATGTTCTCTTTCTCTCAAATAAATAAATAAAATCCTTAAAAAAAAAAAAGTGTTTTCTCAGGGCATCTGGGTGGCTCAGCTGGTTAAGTGTGGGCTTTCCATTTCGGCTGGGGTGAGGATCTCAAGGCCGGGAGAGGGGGTCCTAAGCCGGCTTCTCTCCCTCTCCCTCTGCCCCTCCCCGCGCGCTGTCTAGCTCTCTTTCTCTCTCTCTCTCTCAAAAAAATCTTTTTTTTTTAGTACTTTCTCTCACACACTTACATCAGTAATTAAAAACATAAGATATCCACTTTTAAAATGGAACTTAATTTTTTCAAATATAAAATCATGCAGAAGAGGCCAGTGTAATGGATGTAGGATATCACACCCTGAGTCAGAATCAGGGCCCATCCAACCCACCAGTCTGTTTTGACATATGTGAGGGGTTTTGGAGAACTAAGCAGTGGCTGATGCCATCTACTTGTTTACCTTCTACTTACTTCCTTAAGTCAACTTGGCTCAAGATGGTTTGATGTCAGGAATGTCAGTCCTGGGTTTCCAAAGTATCCTTCATGGGCCAGTAATGATCATTTCTCAAGGGCTCACCTCGTACCGTTCAAAACACTGGATGGGAATGAACCCATGTAATCTCTCAGCAACCCAGCGAGGCAAGTACTATCATCACCCCCATCTTCCCAGTAAGTGGAAAGGCAGGGATGCAAACCAGGCAGTTTAACTTATAAATGAGTTATTTGTAAATTGGATAATTTTGAATGCACTAGAGATGCCTAGATACAAGAAAACAGGTGAATGCTTTTATAAATTGAATATTAATCTCTCCCTTACTGAATCAATTTCACAATTTCAGAACAATGCAAGAATTACTTTTAAAACTTAATATTGTAAAATGTAATTTTATTTTAATTCTCTACTTTGTGTTTTACAATTAATCACTTTTAAATTTGGCAGCTATGTTTTGTGCGGTTTTTTTTTTTAAGATTTTATTTACTTATTTGACAGAAAGAGAGAGAGAGCACAAGCAGGGGGAGCGGCAGGCAGAGGGAGAGGGAGAAGCAGGCTCCCCGCTGAGCAGAAGGAGCCCTATGTGGGGCTCCACCGGGATCATGCCCCAAGCCAAGGCAGTCAGTTAACCAACTGAGCCACGCACGTGCCCCTGTTTTGTGTTGTTTTTAAATCACTTGTAAAATGTTTTAAACCTTGACTCAAATTTTCTCATTTAGTCTAACTGCCATTTCCAAGTGAGTCAATTTCTTCACTGGGCTGTAACAATATATGCAAACTAATGGACAGGTTCAACACAATTATTCACTCATGCTATTAGGAAAGAGCAGTAGCACAAATGACAGATACAATAGATAACAGTGAGTAATTCCAAGGTAATATATATGAGGCTTTTGGAGGAGTGTGTGTGTGTTTGTGTGTGCATGTGCATACATATGTAATTGTACAGAGGAGTTTCTGCAAAGGTCTAACCCAGGAGGAGCTTTTGAACAGTATAGCGTCACCTCTACTCAGATGTTCTCCCATGTCCTAATTCTTTGTTAAGTCTGCATTTTGCATTTTACATTCATTCAATATTGTCCTTTGGAGGCCACTTCTTTTAAGATGGCAGCTATAAAAGATAGAAAGAGCTTAGCTTAGATCTCATTTGAAGAACTGCCAAGGAAAGCTGCTTGATTAGCACTGGACTGGGACATGACTTTTCACTTTCTTAATTGTGTCTTTTGATGAGAAGTTTTAAATTTTGATGAAGTCTATTTAACAGTTTTTCTTTTATGATTAGTACTTTTTGCTCCTATTTAAGAAATCTTTGCACATCCCAAGCTCATACAGCTTCCTGTGTTTCCAGCTAGAAGATTTATAATTTTAGATTTTAAATTTAGATCTATGATCCATTTTAAATTAATATGAATGGTATAAGTGTAAAAGTCAAGGTGAATTTTTTTTAAGAAAAATTAATAGCTTTATTTTTCCTCAATATACATTTAGAAAATAGGTCTAAGGAAAGGTTTCATGAAATAGACCAGAGGACTATATACAAAGTGAAGAGTTCCAAATCAGAGAGACCGAGTGCACGGACGGAGCACTCTTCCCCAAGGGCCACAGCAGCCTAGGACCTTCCAGTTGAACATTTTGCCCATCACCATAACAGGGGTGACTTTTTTTTTTTTTTCCTATCTGGATGTTATGGTCTTCCAGCAGCATTTATTCTAGGACCTTTCTTTCCCCTTGAACTGTGTTGGTGTCTTTGTCATTGGTCATATATGTGTGAACCTATATCTGGACTCTCTTCTGTTTCACTGACCTATTTGTTTATCCTTACACTTATACCATATTGTATTAATTACTTTAATCTAAAATTTGAAAACTGGTTATATACATATCTTCCATCTTTGTGCTTATTTTAGAGATGATTTTGACTATTCTGATTTTTTTCAATTCCATATAAATTTTAAAATTAGCCTATCAATTTCTATCAAAGAAGCCTCCTGGGATTTTGATTAGGATTACATTGAATGTATAGACCAACTTGGGGAGAACAGACATCCTAATAATTGAATCTTCTAATCTGTAAAATAGACTATTTTTGTCTTTTAATAGGTCTTCTTTGATTTCTCGCTGTGTTGTTTCATAATTTTCAGTGTGGAATCTTGCACATTTTATTTAGTCCTGTGTATTTTATTTTTAAAATCCTATTGTAAGTGGCGTTGTTTTTACATTTTCATCTTCCATTTATTTGTTGCAAGTATGAAGAAATACAACTGATATTTGTGTATTGACTTGTAGTACATGGCTTTGCTAAATTCACTTATTACTTCCAGTAGTTTGTAGATTCGTTGGATAGTCTATGTATACAATCATGTCATTTATGAATAACATGTTACCTTTTCTTTCCAGTTTTTTATTTTTAATTTTTTTTCTCTCCTTATTGCGTTGGTTAGGACCTCTAATACAGTATTGAATAGAAGCAGTGATAATAGACAAACTTGTCTTGTTAGGGACAAATATTCACTATTTTATCATTAAGTGTGATGTGATTTGTATGTTTTAGGAAAATAATCTTATCAAATTGAGGAAGTTTCTCTCTATTCTTAGGTAGCTAAGAATTTTTATTATGAATGGGGGTTGAATTTTATAAAATACTTTTTCTGTATCTATTAAGATGATCCTATTGTTGAAATTATATTGAATACTTTATTTTAATTTTATTTCTTTAAAGATTTTATTTGAGAGAGAGAATGAGCGGGGGGGGGGAAGGGCAGAAGGAGAGGGAGAGAGCGAGAAGCAGACTCCCTGCTGAGCAGGGACCCCAATGTGGGGCTTGATCCCAGGACACTGGGATCATGATCCGAGCCAAAGGCAGACGCTTAACCAACTGAGCCACCCATGTGCCCCTTGAATGATTTTTTTAATGTTAAGCAAACTATGTCTTTCTAGAATAAACTCACATAACCATGATATGTATAGTTCTTATGTAACATTGTATTTGATTTGTTAAAATTCCACTTGGAATTTTTTTCCATTAAAGGGATATTGCTCTATTTTTTTTTGGTAATGTCCTTGATAGGTTTTGGTATCAAGGTTATGCTGGCCTATCTGAAAGATTTTGTGTAGAATTTTATTTTAATGTAGCCTGAGTCATGAGAAACATTTTGCTTCATGGTTATTATGGAGATGTCCTTTTCCTTTTGCGGGAATATGTCACAAAAGTTAAATTCCAGAGTTGGCAAACTCAAAAGCCTTCTGTGATTAGCTGTGTGGATTACACAACAATACACTTTTAGATGAAAGAAAAGAGTGTGAAACTGCATGTGGTTAATTTAATGGCAAGATATGACAGTAAAAAGTTATTCAAATAAAAAGGAGAAAACACAGCCCTATAATCCAAAAGACCTGTGGGCAAATTTTGACTTGTGGCCAGTTTACAATCTTTGTATTTTGTCCTCAGAGATTTATTTGATATTATTCCAGTATTATGCCCTCACCTTTGGTATTAAAGAGTAGTGGCAACTTTCTAAACTGACTCAGCAAGAGTCCTGTAAACCAGATTCACTTTGTTGATATACTCAAATGTTCACTCTCTATAGTACATTTCCTCTGAATTTCTAGGTTTTAAATTTATTATGTTATTTGATGCAAAAGATGTATAATAATATCAAGAGTCAAAATGAAATTTTCCCCTTTCTTGAGAGAAAGAAAACTCTTCTTTAATCCCCGTAGAATGATCTTTCCATTTGAGGGCCGTGACCTAGGCCTAACCTGAGCCCAAGGGTCTAAGTCCATGTACAAATTTTCATCCATGGTCACAGCTTTTATCAGGCTTTATAACTGATTTACTGGATGCTGCCAGCCAGGATCCTACTGTTACCTGACAGGGACGTAATGGCAAACAAACAATTTGTTTGTTAACCCGTGCATGATCACGCTTGTTTTCATAGGGTGGGCAGATGCTAAGACCCATCACTAGCGTGATCTGGTTACCATTAATCTTACCGAGTTGCTATTGCCAGAGGATTTACCTTCTCTGTAGAGGACTAAGACAAATTAATATGAAACCATGATTACATAACCTAAGCATTGAATTATAAAGGAATTGGGGTTAGATTTTATTCTGGCCGTTAGCACGGACTTCCTAGAAAACAATGTTGACTAAGTTTGCCCATCTGGGAAATGTCTTCTCTGTGCTTCAGGTTTATAACAATCATGGCTCCTGGACTTTAGAATCATTCTACGGGCACCTCATTCAAACATTCAACAATACTATTTATTGAGTGCATATATGTGCCAGGCACTGTTCTAGGTACAGATTCAACAAATCCTTAAAGTGAAATCCTTATCTTCCCTTCCTCAAACCAGCTGTTGTCTCCTGTATTCACTATCTCAGTGCTGGCATCAACATCCACCTAGTTATCCAAGGCAGAAGCCCCTGGGTTCAATATCAGTATTTCTTTCTTCCTCAGCCCTCTATCCAATCAATGACCAAGTCCCCACCAGTGTACCCTCACCAATCTCAAGAATCTATTATTCCTTTGCTAACCTTGCCTCAGTGCCTTTGCCCTGTGGTGTCTGTCTTGAACAATCTTCTTCCTGACTTCACACAGTGGGCTCATCATTCAGATCTTAGCTCAAATGTCATCTTCTTGATGATATGCTCTTCAATCCACCCCATGCAGAGCTGCTTCCCAGCCCTATTCTTAATCTCATTACCCTCTTTTACATCTCATTACCTTCTTTTACTGTCTTGTTACCACCAATACTACCTGTTAACTTATTTGTACCCTCCCCACCGTTTTGTCTTTCTCCGTCACTAGAATCTAAGCTTCATATGTGCAGAGACTTTTTCTGCCTTGTTCACCCCTGTTCTGGACACCGGGGATATGGCCAGTAAAATCATTCTGTATTGCTCTCATCTGGCAAAAGTCCAACCCCAGTAAACTCCAGTTCTCTAATTATTCCCTACCTGCACTCAACACACACGATGCTGGCTGGTCTCATGACCATAAACCTTGCTGCTGCTTGGCAATGCTACCATATTTCTCTAGTCAATTCACTATCCCAAATCCCAGACAACGATTTCATACATTTCCCTCCTAAAACCTCCAAAATCCCCTTCCCCTTCCTCAAGCTCATCTGATGACCTTGCTTCTTATTTCACTTAAACAACAGAAACAATCACTGGATCACCTTTTATAAACTGAAGTATAGTTGACATTAAAAGTGAATTCTGGATGTTCCTCAAACCTCCTCATTCTTAGTCTTACCCCTCCATAAGTGGAAACTCCACTCTACTATTTGCTCAGGCCAAATCCTTGAAATCATCCTTTATTCCTGGACTTTTCTCAGATGCTCAATCCGTGTACCTTATAGACGCTACCTTTTCAGTATATCTAGTATCTGACCAGTACTCACCATTCCACTGCCACCATGCTGGCCCAACAACTATTATCTCTTGCCCAGACTCTTGCAATGGTCTCCTAACTGGTCACCCTACTTCCACTCTACCCCCTTCCATAGACTCCTTTCATACACCATCTAGAGTAAAACTTTTATAGGTATTATCTTACTAGTAGCTGACTTTGGAGTTTCTCAGCTACCTTTCCTAGCTGTATTTTCAATGTCAGACTCAATCTACCAAGAGAAATTCTAACTTAAAGCTAGGGACACTCTTGCTGCTATTATGCTAAAACAAATGTACTTTATGTTAAAAATAATAAAGGCTCTTCTGTTTGAGTGGCAGGTGGTTGATATTGCTGCTTTAGTGAATAAGTCTACCTACAAACCTGGAGGGGAGGAAAAAAGTCAAACACAGAGATCAGGATGCAAAAATCACTCACGAGCAACCACAAGGGGTTAGAAGCCCTGCAGAGAAGCCAGGAAAGGATACAAATCTCATTTATGGTTTTGAAAAAACATCAAGTAGGAAATCAGTTAGCCCCATTGTGTGACTGTTTCTTTCACCTTAACATTGATAACTACCCGATTTTTATTTGCTTACTGCCTGTCTTTTCCTTTTAAAATATACACTTAATTTAAAATATAAGTCTAATATAAGTATATTTTACTTACATGTTTTGCAAATGAGACTAGTGGCCTCTATCTTCAGTGCCAAGAGTGCTTGACACGTGGTAGGTGCTCAAAACAGTGCTTTGGGTTTTTATGAATAAATCAACCCGAAGACATCTCTTTTGTAGCTCAGAACTAATTTCTCCCTTTTATTTTAAGGGTAGATGAGACTGGGGGGCGGGGCGTGCAACTTTAATCTGAGTTTACTGAAGATAGAAGCTTCAAGGTTAACCTAATGGGACTAGTATTCTGATGACATTACCCAGAGAATAATATGGTTCCTGTTCTAATTTTCCTCATCTAATGTGGGGCAATTCTAGTACCTATTTATAGGGTTACTGGGAGGATTAAATGAGAAAATAAATACTTGTAAAACCCTCAGGGCAGCACCTCTGACTGCATCGTTACCTGCTGTTATTTGGTTATTATAATTTTATTATCAGTGGTACACTACTAATTATAAATTACTACATCATAAATCCACTTACAGCTGATGTTGACATGGTGATCCCTAATCTAACACATTGCTTCAATTTGTTCCCCATAATGCACTTGAGAAATCCACTGTGGTAATGACAATTTTCATGATTTTATTTCCTACCATTTAGAAGTTCCTAACTTTGGTCAACGGCCAGCAGGGATTAAGTAAGAGGATTTCAGGGCCCAAACTGGTGCAAACGGAACCGAGCACACCATGCTTTACATTCTTGCTGGGAATCGCTGGAGGACAGGGACCATTTCTTACTGAATTCCATAACCCCAGAGCCCAGCAGAGTATGTATGTACCTGGCGCATACTCAATACTGCTAATAATGAATGGTGAGCATAGTCTGACCTCCGGACGAGCCGAGAGCAGAGTACAACCGGAAAGGGTGAAAACGAGAGCCTGAAAGCTAACTCCGAGCGCCGCTTGCGCCCAGAACCCGGCGCAGGACGCGGCCCCTGGCGGCGGCTGCGCGCTGGGGCCGTCCGGGGCGCGTCGCGAAGGAAGCGCGCGGGCGCCGCGGGGCGGGGCGTCTCTGGGCAGCATGGAGAGCGCGGGTCCTGCGGCGTGTGGGGGCCACATGCCTGGCTTCCTACGTGCCCTTCAGACCCGGAGCCGAGGCGAGGCGGCGCGGGCACGGGTGCGGGAGCAGGACCTAAGGCAGTGGGGCCTGACAGGTCAGTGGCCCCGGCCCAGCTTCCTCCCGGGCCTGCCAACTCGTTGGGACTCGCCTCTGGCGGGCGGGGGGACCCCGCGCCAGGAACTGGCCTTCGGCGCCGCGGGTGGACCGTCCTGTGGGGTTTTGTTGTTGTTGTTGTTGTTTGTTTTTTGTTTTTACTTGCGGGCTCCAGGGCTTTTTCCTTCCCGCCCCTGCGGTGGGGCCGGACACAGGGCCCGGGCCTGGGGCCGGGCGGCCGTTGCCCCTGCCTGCGCAGCGCGGGGTGGGCGGGCGCGGAAGGAATGAGATACCGGGAGGGGAAGCGGGGCCCGTGCGCGGCCCGGCACATTGGTCCCACGGCGGAGGAACTCGGTGAGTCCGCTGTGTCGAAGGTAAGACCTTTCTTTCTGAAGATGGAGAGGACGTCCTGGCGCCCCAAGAATGTGTGTTTAAAGTTTCTGTTCCGGTCGATTTGGAGGCCCAGCCTGGGGATTTCATGAGTTGCTCCTGCAAAACTATCAGAACTCGTCTACTTGTTTCAGCTGTCTTCGTTTACAGTGCACGGGCAGTTCTTTGATAATTTCCCATTGGTTAATTCTCCCACAATGCTCTGTTTTATTTTTTTAAAAAGATTTTATTTATTTATTTGACAGAGACACAACGAGAGAGGGAACACAAGCAGGGGGAGTGGGAGAGGGAGGAGCAGGCTTCCCGCGGAGCAGGGAGCCCGATGCGGGGCTCAATTCCAGGACCCTGGGATCATGACCTGAGCCGAAGGCAGACGCTTAACGATTGAGCCACCCAGGCAATGCTCTATTTTAAAATACGCAGCTAGGGACGCCTGGGTGGCTCAGTTGGTTAAGCGGCTGGCTGCCTTCGGCTCAGGTCAGGATCCCTGTTCAGCGGGGAGCCTGATTCTCCCTGTGCCTGCCGTTCTCCCTGCTTGTGCGCGCCCTCTCCCCTGCCCACCCCCCCCCGCAAGTAAATGAGTATAATCTTAAAAAAAAAAAAGGCAGCTAAGCGAAGTTTATTAGTCCTTACCGCACATAAATGTATTTTATTTATACCAGTCCTTCCCTAGAATCTCTGAAGCTTGAAGCTTTACGGACAGCGAGGGTGACACCATCTGCTGTGGATGGAAAAACTCACGCCTGTTACCTGGCCTGGCTACGCTTGACTCACCACCTAACCTCCCCAGCCCTCGATTTTTTGAATTATAAAATGGGGAATGCAGTGCATGCTTTAACTATTATAGAAGCTTGGATCAATAATAATCAGTGGTGTAGTCCTTAATTCATTATTTATTGAGTGCTGAGAGCCACATACTATGAGTTGTTAGGTACAGAGATGCGCAAAACAAAATCGGGCCTTGTCCTACCAGTGTTTCTACGGTGGGGACTGTGAGTGCTTCGAAAAGTATAAACTAATATTTATTGAACTCCTGTTACGTACTAAATGCCAAGGAAGTGAGTTTTTGTTGATTCTCAGAATGAAACAAAAGATGCAGTTCTTTATCCGCTTAGAAGAGGAATGAAGACGAATGGGTAGGATACAGACACGAAAGAGAAAGACCTCTCCTTTCCTGTGTCTTTGAGGCTATGGGAATGAGTGCATCTGTGTCTGTAAGGAGTGTGTATCCAACCTAAATAGAAATTTATGGACTGGTGTTTATGTGGATATCTTATATATTTTTGTGTGCCTATTCCTTGCATGTGTTTTTAGGTGTGATGCTTTGAGAACATTTGTGGGAGAAGGCTAGAGGAATTGTGCTCATTGATATAGACTGCAGATAATACATCTGGAGGAATGTCATCTGGGTGTGTGTTATTTTAGTAAAAACGAGAAGACATAAGACGCTGCACCTTTGTTTGGCTGCATTAGTTAAGAAGGAAGTAGACACTGGAAACTTAGTGTTGGGAACGATAAGTTGGTAGTGGAAGGAAAGAAAAAAATAGAAAACAGGTATATGTAAAATAATAACCATTGAATATTACAGCTTGGAACTCCTATTTCTATTTACTAGAATTTATATTTTGCAAAATAATTTTTTGAGAGTTGGTTAAAAATCTTCATTGTTTTTTTTTCTTATTACATAGTACATGTTCTCTGTAAAACATTTAGAGTAGTATTCTTTGCATTAAAAAATTTAATTGCCTTAATCCTTTTACTGTTAATATGTTCTCATTTATCCTGCCAGTCCTTGATTTGTGTGGTACATATAATTTCTTCTTTTTCTTCTCTGAGGCAGGGTGTGGAGCTAGCGAGAGGAGCAAAAATGGGGTTTCATATGCATACTTTTTGGAAACAGTTTTTTCTTCTGTTATCTTTTAGTCTTTTTAGTCATTTATTCTTCTTCAATGTCATATTTAGTGGGTACAGATCTTTCAATGAATGGATGTGCAATAGTTTAACCAGCCAAATATGTGGGTATTTAGGTTCTTACTTTTTTTGTGGTTATAAATAATACTAATAAATGTCCTTGTAACCAAATATTTATTACATTCATAAATTAATTCTTCCAAGACAGCATTTCTAGGCCAAAGAGTTTGTGAAATTTTTGCTCATTTCTCCACATTCTCACCAATACTGATATTTTCTGATTTGAGAAGTTATGGTGAGCCCTGTGAATTGTGTAAGACTGATGAATCAAAGACCTGTACCCCTGAAACAAATAATACATTATATGTTAATTAAAAAAAATAAAGAAAAAATGTTCTTTTGTTATCTAATGTTTGTTTCCTGGTATTGATGGACACTTGGATATTTATCTTCTTTTTGTTCCTTGTGTATTTATGCTCCTTGCCCATTTTTTAACTGTCTTTTGCTTTGTTCTTTCTTGCATTGATATTAAATATTTGCCACATGTATTGGGAATATGTTTTCTCGTTTGTCTTTTGATTTTGAGGTATGTGAGTGTGTGTGTATTTCAGTGGTGTTTAAAAATTGTTTTTAGTCAGATCTTCAGCTTTTTTCTAAATGATTTTTGCCTTTAGTATTTTGCTTAGGTGGGGGCTTTACTACTCGAATTTATTGTTGTTGGCTTAATATTTTTCTTCTAATACAGTTTTAAATGTATTAGGGAGGAACTTGACTGTCTTTTTTCCTCTCAAATATGTAATGAATTAGCCCTTTTTGAAAACTGATGAAACAAGTATTTCGTTCTGCGGTATTCTTCCCAGTGATTAGAAAACTTTTAGTTGGGGGCACCTGGGTGGCTCAGTTGGTTAAGCGTCTGCCTTCGGCTCAGGTCATGATCCTGGAGTCCTGGGATTGAGCCCTGTGTTGGGCTCCCTGCTTATCGGAGAGCCTGCTTCTCCCTCTCCCTCTGTCTGCTGCTTCCCTGCTTGTGCTCTCTCTCTTTCTTTCTCTCTCTCTGTCAAATAAATAATGAAATAAAATCTTAAAAAAAAAACAAAACTCAAAAAACCTTTTAGTTGATCTTCCTCCCCTGAGTAGTGTCGCAGATATAGCCCATGCATACCAGTGAACTTCAGAAACCTAAAATACATTGGATCATAAAGGTGTGTTAGGACCACTTTGTTTTTGGAACATGCAGACCTATTACTTGTGCTGTTTTTGCCTCCTTTTCTACGACAGGCATACCTCAGAGATACTGCAGGTTCGTTTGATTAAAGACCACTGCAATAAGTGAATATTGCAATAAAGCCAGTCAAGTGAATTTTTTTGTTTTGCAGCACGTATAAATGTTATGTTTATACTATACTGTGGTCTATTAAGTATGCAATAGCATCATGTCAAAAAAACCCCAATGTACATACCTTAATTAAAAAATACTTTATTGCTGAAAAATGCTAATCCATCATTTGAGCTTTCAATAAGTTGCAATCACTGATCACAGATCACCATAACCAATATAGCAATAATGAGAAAGTTGGAAATATTATGAGAATTACTAAAATGTGACACAGAGACAAAAAGTGAGCAAATGCTGTTGGAAAAATGGCGATTGTAGACTCAGGGTTGCCACAGATCTTTAATTTGTAAAAACAAAACAAAACAAAAACAACACTGTGTCTGTGAAGGGCAGTAAAGTGAAGCACAATAAAATGAGGTATGCCTGTACTCCTCACCATCCTGAGAGGTGGGCAAGAGAATTCAAACAACTGTATGATGGATACAGCTGATGGGCACCCTCACATTTATTTCTTCCCCAACCCCCAAGCCTGCCTTATCACATCCTCAAGGCTATAAAGCAAAAGACTACATTTCCCAGACTCCCTTCTAGTTCTATTGTACATGACGACTGTGGGAGATTTGGAAGGGAAAAATGTGGGAGAAGCCATAGTCTGGGAGGGATTTGGGTTTTCTGCATTTCTCTTGGAGCCTAGTCCTAACTTCAGGGAGGTTAAGTGGATACTGAGCATCTATTTTACTGGCATGGATTGTAGCTGAGGTGGGTAGGGTCCTAGAGCTGACAGTTGGACTAATGGTCTTGTGAGATAATGGAAAGTACATATTGGCTCTGCCCCCTGGTTCCCAGAATAGAGTTCATGAAACCCTTGTAATCTCCTGGGTGACAGGAATATCTTTTGTTCTAGTGAGGTGATGCTGGGTGTGTTCCTGGATGGCTCTTGGGTGGGGGCTGGTCACAAGAAAGGACAAGCCATAATTAGAGCTTGGAATTTTCAGCTCCATTCCCCATTCTGTTGAGATGGGAAAAGGCTGAAAATGAAGTTAAATGATTGATGATGCCTACGTGATGAAGCTTCCGTTAAAAATCCAAGAAGTACAGGGTTTGGAGAGGATAAAATGGGATTGTTTTCTTCTTCTTCTTCTTCTTTTTTTTAATTATGTAATGACATGGATGAACTGGAGCGAAATAAGTCGGTCAGAGAAAGACATGTATCATATGATCTCACTGATATGAGGAATTCTTAATCTCAGGAAACACACTGAGGGTTGCTGGAGTGGTGGGGGGGTGGGAGGGATGGGGTGGCTGGGTGATAGACATTGGGGAGGTTATGTGCTATGGTGAGCACTGTGAATTGTGTAAGACTG